TCTGGGTGGGTTTCACTGTAGAGAGAGATCTCCTCCTCTAAAGATTTCGAATTTCATGGAAAAGATGGATTTTGATGGAGCTTGAGGCCATGGGAGCTTAGATACTCATCCCTCCTTTGTTTTAGAGTGCATTGTGGTAAGAAATTCCCTTCCTTTTCATGTTTTTATGACGATTGAATTTATGGTTTCATTTTGAAAATTTGGTTTGATTGAGCATGTTAGAGCTTGATTCAGGTTTAGCTCATGTTGAGAAAAGTGTTTAGATGAGAATTTTAACGGTGAAAATGTATCTGAAAAATTAAAGATACCATATTTTTGAATAGTGTTGTATACGTGAATAGTGACGTATACATGAATAGTATTGTAGAGATGAACAGTACCGTAGTACCGTATATATATGAATTAATGAATCTTGGATTAGAGGTATGTGATAAGCGTGAATTTGATGGACTAAAGCATTGGAATCATGAAGTTGGCATGAATTCCTTTATGTGCCTCTTAGCCATTGACAAAGGAAGTATGTGCTATCTGTTTTACAAATCGAGCATACTTTTATGCGTGAAATAATATTCTAAGGTGTATGGACCTTCGCTTTGGTGAAATAAAAAAGAAAATAAGGTAGCTCCTTTGTATGACCTTAAAATGAGTTTTAGCCATTTTCAAAGGAGGTATATGTTCGGAGATATTATTTCGCAAAGTGAGAACACTTATATGCATAAAATAATTTATATAGGTGGCTATGCTTGGGTTTAGGCACTAGACAAAGAGAAATCTTATAGCTCCATTGTAATGGGCATTCTGCCTTAAGTTGGGACTATTCTAAGACTAAGTGAATATGTGAAATTTTGTGGGGATTTATTGAACAAAGAACCACCCACTCATGACTTAATATGATTAAGTAAGAAGAAAATAAACAATAAAGTGTGTGTCTTGTATATTTACATGGCATTATATCATTTTATTGAGTTTTGTGTTGAATTCCTTCTCTAGGTGTACCTAGGGACTGTGAACGTTTGGATTCTCGTGGAGCATGATAAATAGCTTGTTCTTCAAGTAAGCAAATTGTAAAGCTCCAAGAGGTAAGCTCTATGTTTATGGGGTTCGCTCCTACTTTGTGTTCCGCCATAGTGTACGGACTGTGGTCAGGTTGTATGATATGTATGAGATATATGATATAGATGCATTCATATAGAGCTATATGACAATATGATATGTTTTGTTTTGATGTATTTACTTTGATATGTGTTAATATGATATGTTTTGTTATGATATGACTTCTGTAATATGATTTCTGTAACAATATCTGGCCATTGATTGTATAGTACCCGGATGTTCGCTTTGGGGTCCTCCCTCGGGACTGATGGTGTACGCCTCTGATATGTTCTGGTTCCGCTTTGGGGTCCTCCCTCGGGAACACGTGCGTTGATTTCCGCTTGGGGTCCTCCCTTGGGAATGACTGCGTACGCCTCTGATATGTTCTGGTTCCGCTTTGGGGTCCTCCCTCAGAAACACGTGCGTTGATTTCCGCTTGGGGTCCTCCCTCAGAAACACGTGCGTTGATTTCCGCTTGGGGTCCTCCCTTGGGAATGACTGCGTACGCCTCTGATATGTTCTGGTTCCGCTTTGGGGTCCTCTCTCGGGAACACGTGCGTTGATTTCCGCTTGGGGTCCTCCCTTGGGAATGACTGCGTACGCCTCTGATATGTTCTGGTTCCGCTTGGGGTCCTCCCTTGGGAACACGTGCGTTGATTTTCGCTTGGGGTCCTCCCTTGGGAATATCTGCGTACGTTTCTGATAAGATATGTGTATATGTTTTGTTTAGTTATGATGTTTGATTATATGACATGTTTTATGGGATATGTATGATGATTTTGTAAAAGATATTTATTACGTACGTTGATTTCCGCTTGGGGTCATCCCTTGGGAACGATTGCGTACGTCTCTGATATAACACGTTTTGTTTTGATGTGAGTATTGTGATGATTTTTGTAAAAGATATTTGTTACGGGCGTTGATTTTCGCTTGGGGTCATCCCTTGGGAATGACTGCGTTTGTCTTTGATAAGATATGTATATATGCTTTGTTCAGTTATGATAATTGCTTATATGATGTTTTGTATATTATGTATCTGACTGTCATGCAGGAAGTGAGCCCAGGGTATGGAGGGTTTTCCATAAACCTGGAGTTTACTAGAGATTCGTCTCTAACCCCGTTTGGGGATATGATTTCAGGAACACAGTTAATTGAAGAGTCTCATGGGACAAGGACACTAATCGTGGCTAGAGGTACTACTATGAGGATGTGGAGTTCTGGGTGGTCGGATGCTACTATTTGTTTTAGACGTATTTTTGGAAAAGATGTGTTGTTGCATAGTGTTCATATTCGATACATGTACATTTATGTATTCAGGCATGATGATATGACTATGTAGTATTCAGTTATGTTATGTATTGGATTGCATGCTATTAGATTTGTGGCACGGAGCCAAGTTCAGCATGCGCCCATAGATGGGTATGACTGGTACTTCTGGAAATATATATTGTTTAAACTGTCTATCAGGAACTCTTGAGAGTGGGATTGGAAAATCCCCAGTTGTCCGATTTACAGAGGTTACTCTGTCCGATTTTCGACTCCATAAAATAAGAATTAAATTAGAAGAAGTATGCAATGTGATATGTCATGTGAAAAAGGATTAAAGAAAAAGAAAAAGTTAGTTCGTATTTTCGTAAGTTAAGTCTTCCGCTGTTTCTGTTAAGTATCATATGTATGTTAATTGAACCGGCTCGAGGCTGGGGATGTTACAAAAATAGTGGTAAAATTGACAAATTAGTTTAATTACCGGCAATATTAAATGTGGACTTGGATGGAAACAAATCACATGAGAATAATTGATAATAAAAAAAAATATAAGATGAAAGAGTATATTGGGGTTTATGAATTTCCCCCCCAAATATTAAGGATTATATTTATCTCATTTTATATGAGATAAACAACTTTCCTACACACCCATAAAGGAGTTGGGTCCCATCACTTTTTTTCTCTCTTCTCTTACCTGTGAGTCCCATTTATAATTTTTATTTGTACAACACGAGGTAACTTTTTTCCTACAACATACTAAAAGTATTTTCCAAAAATTAATCATGTCAATCGCACACCACTTTTGATTATTTTTACACTTTTCAATTAATTAATGTTCAAGCATGTTTCACCGCGAATTTATTCCCGCTTAACTGCTCTAGACATTCTTTCATTTTTCGGTTAATTTCAAAGTAAGGTCATTAGTCAATTAAGCAATTTGTACATCTTATTATTAATCAATAACTGATTTTCAACCAAATTTATCAATGTGACCATATATTTTAAAAGAAAAAAATATTTGTTATTTGAAAGAACATAAGTTTGTGTAATTTTTTTTTTTGATAACAAGTTTGTGTAATTTTAAGTGAAACTACTGTGTTTTAGCTAGTGCATGCCTAGTGATTTTTTATATTCTTTCACCTATACAAGATCACGAGAAGAGAGAAAATGAGAGTTTTATGGAGAGAGAGAAGTTAAAAAATACTAAAACACAATAATTTCACTTAAAATGTCACATACCTGTATCCTTTAAAATAACAAATATGTTTTCCATACTATAAAATGATGATCATGAAATTTTTTCATAATAAAAATTAATTATTTTGTTACAAAATGTGCAGGAAAAAATCAACATAATAAGTTAATATATCTATTTAAAAGCAATTGTTACATCTAAAATATATCTATTATGTTATCAAAAAAAAAATAAAAATATATCTATTAAAAAGTAATTTTAAAGAATCAAATCATCTCTTTTCATCTATTGTTTTGCTTTAATATGATGTAATCCCCAGATCATCAAATTTGTAGAATTATATTTCTAAGATAGACTCGTGTTCTATTATAATGTGTTTGTGTGTGTGGTGTGGTTGGCTATCAAAATTGAATGTTAAACAAAAGCAAAGCAAATGGAGCTTTAATACCAAAAGCCAATTTAACATGGTTCCTTCTTGCCTATCAAAAAAAAAAAAAAAAACATGGTTCCTTCTCATTTTTCTCTTGAATTGCGAGCTTAAGCTGATTGCAATAAAGGGACCGTTGATGGTGCTACTGGCAAAGCCGTAAAGGCAAAATTTGAATGATTGGACAAGATGCTAATGCGAATATTTGGTCATTGCTTACCTCAGTTCCCATGCTTTTAACTTTGAAGTGACAAGCACTAGTCGGTGGTACAATATGGTGATTGTAATTAGTGTTCCCCAAGCTCATTGGAAACTAGTTGTATCTAAGTCATGCTGCTTTTGTCCCTCATTAACCTTTTCATTTTGTTCTTGCGCACATGTCATAAAACATTGAAATCTTGAAGTTTATATCGTACAAATTTCAGAATTTGATGTGTTTTCTTGTCCATGTTGTGTGTCAAATGTTTGTTGTTCATATGAAAAATAGAATAGTTGTTACTTTTATTATATGATCTACAAATTGCATCATATAGTTTTCAATGAGACTCACTTGATCTTATGCAGGGATGATTCTGTATGAGCCTAATGTTACCACACAGTTGTTAGTTTCTTGTTTGCTTGAACCAGTTTACTGCATGACATTGATTATTTGGATTCCACAATTATGTTGCCTGCCAAAATTGACCACAGATAGAGTTTTCTTTTATTTTATAATTGAACCTTTCGAGGAAATTGGTGGAAAACAGCACCAACTTACTAACAGAGTGGCCTCTTGAGATCAGCTTTTAATCATGAGACATGACATCATGATAGGTGATCACTACAATTCATAATCTATGATTATAAAATATCTGTAAAGTTACATCTTAAACATTGGTGTCAATGTCCAGCATGCACTGGAAACATGCTATATATATATATATGAGTATATGCCTTGTTCATTGAATTCAGGAACACATTAAACCTAAGCCTCTATATAAAGAAAATACCAAAGAGAAACACTATCCTCCATTGAAAAAAATGTCAGACATTCTCAGGGAAGTTGGGTCTCCGGAGTATGGGAAATTTGAAGTCAAGTTCAGTAGGAAAAGTATTGTAAAAGCTGCCAATCCTTTACCAGAGCCATTTTCAATCACTCTCTCAAATCTTGATCTACTTTCAGGCCGTTTTCCTGTTACATACTTATATTTCTACCTCAGACCAAAATTAGGTAACTATAAAGCTTTTGTTGAGGCTCTTAAGAGCTCTTTGGCACAAGTACTTAATTACTACTATCCCTTTGCTGGCCAAATTGTTCAAAATCCCAAAACCAGTGAACCTGAAATCATATGTGACAACAATGGTGCTCTGGTGATTGAAGCTCATGCATATACCCCATTAAAGAATTTAGATTTTTATAATCTCAATGAAACTCTTCAAGAAAAGATAGTCTCCGTTCAACCAGACTTCCCCTTGCAAATTCAGGTAACAGACTACCCTTGTGGAGGCATTTCCATTGCATTTACTTTTGACCATGCATTAGGTGATGCAACTTCCTTTGGTAAATTTATTTCTTCATGGTGTGAAATAGCTCAAAATAAACCACTATCATGCCAACCAGACCATACTAGACACCTTTGTGCACGTTCTCCTCCCAAATATGAACCATCCTTAGACCAAACTTTTATCAAGTGCACCATGGAAGAGATACAGAACATGCCAATGAAACACATCTCACTTAAACGCCTTTATCATATCAATGCATCAAGCATTAACATGCTGCAGAGACTTGCATCTGTTGGTGGCACCAAGAGAACAAAGATCGAGGCTTTCTCTGCCTATGTATGGAGGATAATGATTGGCACCATTGATCAAAGCCATGAAAAGTGCAAGATGGGTTGGTTGGTGGATGGAAGAGAAAGAATGGGAACAGGTAAGAATACCATGTCAAATTACATTGGTAATGTCCTATCTTTGGCTTTTGGGGAGGCAAGTATTCAAGAATTGAAAAAAGCCTCTATATCAGACACTGCTAACATAGTGCATGAGGCAATTTCAAAGGTTAAGAATGAGGCTCATTTCTTGGATTTGATTGATTGGGTTGAGTGTCATAGGCCTGGTTTGATGCTAGCAAAGGCAGTATTGGGTCAGGAGGGACCAGTCCTGGTAGTGTCCTCAGGTAGAAGGTTTCCTGTCACTGAAGTTGACTTTGGATTTGGGACACCCTTGTTAGGGACAGTTTACACTTCCATTGAAAAGATAGGAGTTGGTTACATGAACCAAAGGCCAAGTGCTAAAGGTGATGGTTCGTGGACTGTGTCTGCTATCTTGTGGCCTGAACTGGCTTCTGCACTCAAGGATGACCCAATTTTTCAGCCCATGTCTGCTGCTAATCTTCAACTTTAGTGTAGGACATTGCCATTTTATCTTTATGGGGGAATATAGGTTGTAAAGTAATGATTGGGAATCCTAGACCATAAATATATCAAATTCTGTCGACCCCCAAGCTCATAAAATAAAATATATATTAATCTTGAATTCATCAACATTAATGTTTATTTTGCGGGGTATATGATGCATGAAATGATTTGAGAGAATTACAAGGGCTAATAATAACATATTTTGATTAAGATACTCCCCCAATTGGGGAATTGATGAGAAAAAACAACGAAGCATAGAAACAGAAATAGAGTCGTTCCAATTTGATACAGCACAAAACTGCAACCTGGCACATGGTTATACAGCAACAAAATGTTATCTCCATTTCCCTGCTTTTACAACACATATCCAATGGATCACTTACAAATACAAATTAAATATTAAACAACTCCTGAAAATATCGAGAACACTGCTAAGCTGCCCGTTAGCTTCGTATTTTCAGAAATTTAAAATGCTTTTGTCTGTGTTAACAATTACCAATTAGTAGTATGTGAGTCCAAAGATAGTACCGTTCCACAAAAGAACAGTGTATTCGATCTCTTTTATCTAATTCTCTACTCTTAGGTTCTTGAAAACTCAAGGAATTTACTTCCAACTAAAATTAGATTTGATCAAAGCCATGAAAATCAGGCTCTAATTCTTACTACTGCTAGGCCCATAATTCATGAAGATATGATGCTTATTGTATGTGAATATGGAAATTATATGTTATGTAATTTTCGACATAGTAATCGCCATAGGAATTCCTACAATAAGGTTATATTGAATTGGATTGGATTGAGATGCTGAAATTGGAATATTATTTTTAAAATTTTGGCCATGTAAAATATTTTTTCCTTGTTATTAATCCAATAGAGTCGTTTTTATATAAAAGTATTTTAAAATAAAATAAATTAATTAATATAGCTAAAGTGAGAGAATGTTAGAAATTTTATATGTGAGTAATATTAATTAATGTTTTTGTATTTTCTAAAATAATCGGGTTAATGGATATTCCAATTTATTGAAGCCCATTCTGATATGTTGAGTTGGACTTTTGACATCTTTTGGTATTAGGCCCAGTTGGACAACACAGTCTAAGCACTAATGTTTGATTGAGCTTTTGTGATGGGTAAATCCATCAAATACACTGTTGAGTAGGGTTTTGTTAGGTCCCTCTCTAGCCTATATATATTGGGGTTAAGTCTTCTGAGGTGTTATGCTCCAATCGCAAAGGCTGCAATTTTGGAATACGTTACGGAGAGGAAGACTCTAGTCGTGAGATCAAGTTCTTCATTCAGTTCAGTAGATAAGATGGTCCAATCAGGTACACAAATTCCTCTCACAACATGATGTTATGTTTTATCTATTATACATGTATCGATCTTTACGTTGAATTATTATATGAAAATGTCTTACAATATCAATAACCCGAGTTTTGGAATTCGTGATTTTTCCCTTTTATTTAGCATTCCTGCATTTATAGCACTTTCTTGATGAAAGTTGAGAGCTGTACACTTTTCTGCATTTTCCTAAACCCAGAATCAAATCGATTCAAACATGTCCCCAAAGCTTAAATCAAATTCGTTTATATAAATCTCAGCTTTCACTTCAAATCATCCCTGATTGTAAAACAATCAATTAACAACCTGCATGCATCTCAATTTCTCAATCAAGATTCATGAAAAATAATGTCAAAGACCATTCACACAGCCTTCAAATAAGAAGATATTGCTAACTGAAAATCAATATTATGCTATACAAGTAATTTTAAATAATGGGTACAAACCAATTTATCCAAATTCCCATAAAAGAATTAGAAACTCATGATTGCAGAATATTCAACAAAGAAACTCATAACAAAAAGAAACATTGTCATTACATTTGCATACCCAAGTTTAAATGTAAAAAGGTTAAGAGATACGACAATATTCTCAAATTGAAATTGTTCAGCAAAAATAGAATCTAATCGGAATTACAGAACTTGAAGGTTGAATTCGGCTAAATCTTGGATTCCTCCAATAAACACGTCCTTGCATGTGCCTTCTTACAAAACGTAGAAAACTTGAAAAAACTAAAAAACTAAGACTCTGTTTGAATACTGTTTTCAAAAACAGTTTTTTAGTTTTTAGAACAAAAAAACAAAAAAACTCGTTTGGTAAGGTCTGTGTTGTAAAAAAAAATTTAAATACTGTAACTGTTTTTTTGTTTTTAGAATCAAATTTAGAGAACTTTCTGTTTTGATTTTTAACTTTTAAAATAAAAAAACCATAGAAAACAATTGTTTCCATAATTATTCTACAAAACAGTTTTAAGAACAAAAAATAAAAACACAATCAAATAGACAAAGTGCAAATGCTTTGCTTGCTTTCCATCAGATTCATTCTTCATCCAATGATCCACAATTTGTCACATCAGCCATTTCTCACTCTTGTGCTTCCCTGTTATCACATACGTGGCAAAGGAAAAATATAAGGGAAATTACAATTCTACCATTAATAACCCAATCACTCTAGCGGGTCTGTTTTGTACACTCTTGGGCCTTTTTCACCTGCATTTTAAGCTATACACAAGCCCAATATATCAGAAATTACATCATTAATTCAGGCAAAAGTTGCAGCTAACACTCATATATATATCAGATAAGTTGATTATTTGGTAGCAGTAATAGTTGCAAATGTTAACTCAAAGTATTAAAATTAATTAAGTGAAAAAATAGTATAAAAATAATCACAATATGTAAGAACAAAAAAATTGATTAAACAAAGACATAATTGTCTATGATGTCAGGGATTTATAATTTGTTCTCAAATTATTAAAGGGTTTAGTGTGTGTCATTTAAAAGAATGCAAGTTATGTTCTTTTAGTGATTTACACAGAGTACGACCGGTCGTACCCTGTGTAATTCTGAAAAAATTACTTTTTTCACTTTACACGTCAACGATGTGACTGAGGAGAGAGAAAAAAAAAACTTTTCAGTTTTACACAAAATACGACCAGTCGTACTTTGTGTAAAACACTTAAAATGACACAAACTTGTGTCGTTCAAAAATACTTCTTTTTCCCATTATTAAAATGCTTCTATGTCCTAAAATTTCCTTGGGACGCATCTTCGACAGATGCAAAGGAGAAGAAACAAGAAGATCTAACAGTCTAGCACACAACAAATGGTCAAGCTCTTCTTGGACCTTCCTTTGTTAGAGTTTGCTGTTAGTTAAACCTCATATAACCATAGTAAATGACTTTTATTAAGATTTCTTTCTTGTTAAGGTAACTAGGATTCAAATCAATTGAAACATAGTACTGTTACGGATATTTGTTAGTTGTCCTTGTCAATAAGAGTTTGTTTGAGTAGCTTTAGCCTAATTCATTGGAATTGTCAAAATTTGGATGTTGAATAAACATTTTGCATGCTGGACACTTTATTGTGATTTAGTGAAAGCATATCCCTATATTTATGCATATAGTGGTTGGAATAATAACTTTATATAAAAAAGTAGCAGATTATTTTGAGTCAATGAAAAAGAAATTTAAAAATAAACAAAGGTGTTTTATTTTTCCTCTCCCCCTTTATTCAACAAGGAAATGTCAAGTGTTGGGAGTGTATATACCAAGGCGTTGGAATGTTCAACAAAGACGGCGAGATCAAGGAAATAAAAATGTGAGCCTTTTTTAAATTAGAAAGGATGATGTAATAATCGAAGTGCCGAGCTAATAATTTTTGGATTGGAATTGCTCCAAATTTGAACAGTCCAACGCAATGGTATATCCATATTTCGTATGTTTGCCCGATATTTTCCTAATAGAATATGGTACGTTTTTACCTAATGATTATTTTTAAGTCGTATTATTTATAGAAACAATTTTTTAAAACACAGGGTTTTGTCACATTAATTATTTATTTTTCGTTATTTTCATATTATAGTTTTTAAAGTTTGATCAAACGGCAAACATAGCAGCCACAATGATATTGACATTTATTTAATTTTTTATTTGACATCTTGACAAATAATGCAAACTAAAATATATATGAATAAAATTATCTTATATAAGTGTAAAAATAATAAATTTTACATTTAACTGTTAATTTTATTTTTATTTAACGGTTCACGTATTAAATTTAAGTGGAATCCATAATTAAGATATGATGAAACACTTTCTTCTGATATAAATTGATAATGTCTTTATATATAGGTGCATGGTCAACTTGTATCTAAAACCATACATTACTAATGAATTTGGGCTTTTTCACCCTTTTGCCCCTTATTAATTAATTAATAACCATTTTGCCCCTGATTCGAAACTATCTACCAATCTGCCCCTCTTTAATCGACTACCTTGCATTTTTAATCGACTAAACGGTTGTTGGGAGATTTAATCGACTAAATCTCTCTACTTAATCGATTAAAATCATACTGACTTATTTTTTTTTGTAAAATATGAAGATTTAGTCGACTAAATAGGGAGATTTAGTCGACTAAATCTCCCAGCAGCCATTTTTTGTCTGTTTTGGTCATTTAGTCGATTAAAAATGCAATGTAGTCGACTAAAGAGGGGCAGATTGATAAATAGTTTCGAATCAGGGGCAAAATGATTATTAATTAGTTAATAAGGGGTAAAAAGGTGAAAAAGCCAATGAATTTGAGCCGCTTGATTTAAGTGGAATTAATAATTAAGATTGAGTGTAATAGCTACAGTGGAAATAGATTATCTCATGTTTAAAAAAAATGACATGGTCATGAGACAATCATAACCATACAAATGTAAATTAACAGTTATGATTTAGTAATTACTTATTTTAATATTTCTCTCTCTCTTCTTTTATCATCACTAATCTACCTTTGTATAGTTATGATTGCTCACATGAATATATCATATCTTTTTCAACATGAGAGGAATAACTCTCAGATACCGTACGAATAAAAAAATTTACACTTAAATTAATCATTGATTACTCTTGCATTTAGAGACTCACATAATTAATGAGT